TTTAAACAACATAAATCCATAACCAAATTTGAAAAAATCAGTATAGTTTTCCAAAGACTGCTATCTGTAACTGGAACAGCCAGAAATAAAAATTGACGGACCCAACCTCCAGTTAAACAAATTGGAGGCTCGGTGGTTTCCTTAAATCCAGCACATACGGCCTTCAGCACAGCAGTTCTCTCCAATTTTCCTTCAAAATAAAATAAAATCAAGAACTCTCAGCACCCTGTATAACAGAAAATTTCATAATATAAAGCTAAAAAAAGTTGACCCATTAGGTACCAACGTGAAATGGTCAGACATGGTGAGAGAACAAGCTAAAAAACAGAAAATGATGAAGTGAACTAGCTAAGAGCTACAATGGGAACACAGCCGCAAAAAAAAAAAAAAAAAAGAAGAGGGAAGCAATTAGGAGAGTGATAAGTAGGCTGATGGAGATCCCTAGCCAACCAACCAGGACTTACAAAAAGAAACAATGGAAACTAAATTATGCCTTTCAAAGTGGAAGCTGATTGAACTTAATAATGAAGATCATTTAGCCAATCTGTTGCTCAAATGCCAGTTTGATGTTCTAGATGGTGATTTCTAGTGGTTCCACTCAGAAAAAAAAAAAAAAAAAAAAGATAAATGACTTATCATTTTATACTGATGGAAAAGAATGAATGGAGTTTTCTCACGAAATCTAGTCCTAAACTAAAATTTCAAAAAAGCCAATCTCCTATGATTTGGTAACTACAACAGAAGATTGCAGAAGAACACCTGAACTGAAGGATAGTATTTGTACTAAAAGCTGACATAAAAGAGTAGAGAAGATAACCAACATGAGAATTTATTCAGCAAGCATTATGTCACAAGCATTAAGTAACAAACCTCGATATTGAGCATTATTGATGACCAATGTTGGCAATATGGTAACATCCCCACGATTTCCTTTGCCAACCTAAGGTTCAGAAATTACGTGAGAAGGAAAAGAAAAAATGTTGAGATAGGATTTCAAATAAATATAAGTTAAGTGATATGTTCAGATCATAAAAAAGATGTAATACTTTGTGACTTTCAAAAGTCATATTTAATGTAAGTGAGAAACAAGAGCTGTAAAGCAATCAATATATTTCTCATACTCTAATCCCCAAATATTATACTAATTTATTGAAGGGAAGCTTGCAATAGAGGATGACTAACCTGGACTTCTTGCTCAGTTTTCAGGATTTCATTCTCCACATCAGCTTCAGGATCACCCATGCACTTTCTGATTTTCTCAATAGGTAAATCTGATAATCAAATTGAAATCAATCAGAAAGCAGGTCATATATGCTGGTATATACAAAAATATTGAATAAGTACGCGCTTACCAAGAGATTTCATGACATCTTCAGCACACTCTTTGCTGTATCTCTTTTCCTTCATGGAACACCGGATATGGAAATCTGTGACATAATCCCACCAAACCCACGAGCGATTGCTCTCATTGGCAACTCTATGCACGCAAAGCTGCCTCAAGTTCTCAAATACCACATCCTTTCCTTCAAATCCCTCTCCAAAATCCTGTTCGGGATCTGGTGCGCAATATCTGCCGTGATTTATGCACTGAGACTTGCATTGACTGCTAAGAATGAAGG